AACCAGCTCCTGGGGCAGGAATTCCTGGGACAGACAGCTCCTGAAGCTGGACCAGCTCCAGGAACATGAATCCCTGGGGGAGAACCAGTTCCCAGGACAGGACCAGCTCCTAGGGCAGGAACCCTGGGGCAGAACCAGCTCCTGGAGCAGAACCAACTCCTGAGGCTGGACCAGCTTCAGGAACACGAATTCCTGGGGCATCCCAAGCTCCCAGCTCCCTGTACACAAATCTCTGGGGCAAAACCAGCTCCTGGGGCAGGAATTCCTGGGACAGAACCAGCTTCTGGAACATGAATCCCTGGGGCAGAACCAACTCCCAGGACAGAACCAGCTCCTGGGGCAGGAACCCTGGGGCAGAACCAGGTCTTGGAATGTGAATCCCTGGGGCTGAACCAAGTCCTGAGGCTGGACCAGCTTCTGGAACATGAATTCCTGGGGCATCCCAAGCTCCCAGCTCCTGGTACACAAATCTCTGGGGCAAAACCAGCTTCTGGAACATGAATCCCTGGGGCAGAACCAGCTCCTGAGGCTACACCACCTTCAGGAACACAAATCCCTGGGGCATCCCAAGCTCCCAGCTCCTCACCTGTAGGCAGCAAACGCCCACTGCAAGGGGTAATCCAGGTTCTTGGTGCAGAAAGCCACCAGCACGAGGCCCAAGGCGATGGGGTGGATCTGGATGCCTGAGTAGATGAGCAGCAGCCCCAGGAGCTGCAGGGCCCAGGACAGGAGGTTGATGCTGCGCTCGTTCTCCAAGGGGCCGTACCTGTAGCACACGGCGAAGCTCAGGAGGCCCACAGAGAGCAGGTAACCTGTGGGGGAGCACAGGGAGGGGGCTCTGTGAGGATGAGGAGGAAGCTGACACCACCAGCAGGGACATGGAGGCTCAGCTTTGCTCCATGGTTCCACCAGGAGATGTTCACCAGGTGGATCTCAGAGCTCCCACCTACCCAACAGGTACTGCCAGTAGGACTTGCAGATCTCCTGCAGGTTCTTGAAGATCAGCTGAAGCAGGTACAGGGAAAAGGACCAACCTCCAATCAGCAGGAAGTACACAGGGCTTTTCTGAAGGGAGCACAGGCAGGTTGTGGATACCTCCCTCAGGTGCTCTGTACCAAACCCAGTCCATCCCAGTACAGGTATGGAAAGGGCTATGAGGTCTCTGACCCTTCAAGATGTGACACCTACCTTGGGCATGACTTTGGACATCATGTAGACAAGGACAAGCAGAGAGGCCAACAAGCCAACACTGATCCCAGCTGAGTAGTAAAAGATTTGGCTCCTGCAATGATCACCCAGGGAATCAATCTCAGCAGGTGTTTTATGGATATCTGTGCACAAACACCCCCAAGCAGGAGCCACCAGGGAAAGGAGAGATCTCACCTGCTCAGAGTGTCCCCACAAAAAAACAACAGCAGGCCCAGGAAGAAAACAAGGAGCAGCTTAGGATCGAAACCTGGAAAAAAATGAATGAAAAATATTAATCCCAGTGAAGAGGGGCACGGTGGGAAGCTCCCACCTACCACAGGGTGACAGGACAGGGATGGGACCTCCAAGTGCCCCAAATTCCTTCTGCACACCAAAATCCCTTCCTGAGGAAGGAACAGGTCTGTG